TGGGTTCAATTCCCAGCTCTGTTAACAGACTTCCTGTCCGTGATTTTGAGCCATTCATTGAAAGCCAAATTTATAAAAGTATGTAGGCATGTGAAAATGAAAACAGGTATTGGCTGAGATTTGAATATCCTACTAAATTCCTATTTGCAACTTGAGCCATCTAAACATTCTTAGGAGGTTTTAAAAATCTGGCCCTTAGTCTTGGTGCCACAGTTCCCTATCTACAATAGCTATAATAATGCTACCCTTTCCTTCTGTTCTAAGTGCATTTTATTTATTTAAATCATAAGCTCTTGAAGGCGAGGATGGTTCCTTTCTTTGTATAGTTGCAATGTGTGACACAATGCTACCTCATCTTATTTTGGGCTCTAGGTTCAGCCTTATTACAAATAATGATATAGACTGTGGTGTAGAATCCTTGTTATACATTACAGAACCATGTGGTAAACTACATTTACCACAAACTTTTATTGCCTCTAAGAATACTTCTAATAACCTGAACCTTTGAGCACCATTCTTCTTTTCAGCATACACCTGGAGCTTCCTGCAAAAAATTACTGGCCTCATATGAATGACTGAAAACATTCAATCCTCGTTCAGTGATTTACTTTTAGTTCAATATTACTGTATTTACTAATCCTGTTTAATGTAATTTTTAGCTATATTAAGATCCATTTAGGAGGTCAGGTGATGGGACTAGGAGGAATATTTTAAGTGTTTGTTTGTAGCACACATTGAAATCAAGAAAACTTTGAAAATAAATTAATAATCTCATAAAATGGGGATTTTTTCATCTTTAGTTAGTTCATTTATTTATTTCAACTATTATTTTTCATATTTTTATCTGCCCTCTGCTGTAAGAACTAAAAATACTGAAACTGTATACAAAATCTAGTTGGTCTAATTAATAAAAGATAGCATCTCTACTATGAGTCCTGAAACTGTATACAAAAATAGAAACTCATAGTAGTAAAACAAGCAACTTGAAAAAGGTGTATGGAGTTGATGTGGACAGCTCAGATTTTCCAGACAACTTATCTGATCTTAAAATGCCCTGTGTTCTCTTCACTCCAGTGACTTCTTCATACATAAGCATTGAATATAATAGTAACTCATGCAGTTCGTATCAAATGAGTACAACCCCTGTCCCCCTCCCCTTTGTATCATATCACACCTAGTTTTCTACATAAGCCAGATGTGCTACAATAAAAGTATTTTAGGTTAATTATAAAGAGTTTTTAAAAATATTCTTATATTTAATAGTATCCCAGCTTCCTTTTTTTCCACGAGTCTGACAGTACATGGGTCTGAGTAATACATTTAAAGTGCCTCTAAGAATGGTTAAAAATACTTTATATTCATTTAAATATTATAACATGGTATCTTGGGAGTTAAGTTTGGAAACAATTACCATAGGTCATATTGAAATATGATACGACTTCCAAAGATTTTAAGCATCTATTTCTAGCCCTGTAATATTACATGTAGCAGGTCTACTTTGATGAAAAAGTCCTATGTGTGCAAGAAAAAGAAGGGACTATTTTACTTGCATGTTGAGATCTATATATAGACAAAGCTCAACAAGCAAGAAAAATATATTGCAAATAGGTAAGTAACATTAACTAAAACACTTACAAAATAATAGATGGGGAGCTAGAGAGGGAGAATTTTTAGGCGTGTTAGTTGATGTTAGTTACCTGTTTGGAATATCAAAATGAGCCTCAGGCTAGATACACAGTGGGTGGGGCAAAGTTGAGGCAGTCATACATGTATAATAACATTTCACTGTATTACATACCTCTACAGTGTCATGTAATAAACTGCTACATCTGGATATCTGATGTATGTGGTGATATTCAGCTACATGTTATTATAAAATAAATTGCAGAGACATGAACAATTGTGAAGTTGTATGATGATGATACAGGATAAACACATAAATCTGGATCTCGAAATTCTGGAATTCTCAAAAATCCAGCAGTTTTTAAGCTTCCCCTTCTGCTCCCTTGACCACCACACCCCATACATGGAGGAGGAAGCTTGCATGCGGTGGCTACCATCGCCATCTGCCACCCCGCTCCGTGCGGCTGCTGCTCCAGGACCGCTCTGGCTTCAAAAAAATGGAATTTTCAAATTTCCGGCAGGTGGACCATGTTGGATTTATGAGGTTATACTGTACATACAGTGCAGCAACATACACAGTCCCCATTTAGGATTAGAGACCAATAGTGACAAGTGTAAAAATGGCATCTGAAAGCCTGATGTGTTGAAGTCAATGGAAGGTTGCCATTGACTTTAGTGGGGCCAGGATTTTACCCATAAACCCTACCCTGAGGATATTACAAACTGAAAAACAGTTTTATAAAGAGGGTGGGGAGAGATGTATGTTATCAAACATATGCAGGTCTTTATAGTTGTAACATACACAAATACATTTGTATATTTACTTTCATTATTTGCATACAATTGGAGAATGAATGGCAAAGTCTTAAATGAGTCGTTATTTAGAGTCACTTATGCTCAAATGATAAAATTTGTATGAAGAAGTTACTAGTGGGGAAAAATATTTTGAGAGAAGAGTAAAAGTATGACAAGTGTCTTTTAAACAAATATAGCTAACATAAGTTTAGATAAAAAGTGTGTGCTGGGGGATTGAGGGGGAGGGTGGGAAATCCTTTGTCTAAAACTGACAACTGGGCCCTGGATTTGGCACTGGGTTAAACTATTGTACCATAACAACAATAGGTAACAATATACATGCCATATAAAAAAGTAAAAATACCAGAAATAGACAAACCTTAAAAATGAAGAGTCAGTCATAATATATTCATTTAGTATTTTATCAAGTAAACTGACTTAAATGAAAGATTTGCACTTATTTATTTTTGGGAGGAAATGAATTGCAAGTATGTGAGTGGTGCTGCATGCATTCCAGTTTAGAATGAAAAATTACATTATTTTGACTGAGGTATTTTTGTATCCATGCAAACCATCCTCACCTGTCTATAGTTTCTACTTCCTTTATGTAACTGGATTTGTGTCATTTGAAATAAAAGTGTCCAAAGGCTCCATGGATAATTGCAAGAAGCAATCATTTGAAAAAGAAAATGTGACAGGCAGTCTTAAGAAAAAAGGGCATTTTCCTGGTGGATCTATTCCTAAATGGGAGTGTTTTTCAGTGCAGTGTTTTGCTCGTGTATTTGGCAGTCACTTGAAATCAAGTGCAGACTTGAGCTACATTGTGGGCTTGGCAATGACAATTTGTGTGTGTGTGGTGCTTTAGTTATATTAGCCCTGGAGGCAGAGTTAACACTTGCAATGGGACAAGAGTATTTGCAGTCATGAGAGAACTTCGCAGTCAGCTTCAATAACATCACTCCATTTTTTTCACTTTTTTTTTAAACATTTTTTTTGGCAGCAAAGCTCTTAGTAGAACCATCTGTCTTTCTATTAGTGTTTTTGAGTCCTGTTTTGAAGCTTCTTTGCTTGGCAAAGTCACTTTCATCCTTGGAAACCATTTAAAAAAAAAGTTCCATGGCTTTTTGCCGAAGAAGAGTACTATGCAAAAATTCCACACGGCTGTTCATTTTTGTTCTAAAAGAATACAGTTACTTTGTCTTTGTCTTTTGATATAAAAAAATCAAATAAAGGCAGAAATGGGACAATTCCAGGGTGATTGAATGGGAGGGGAGAAGAAACAGCATTCTCCATTTTTTGTGTTCCATAATCTAGTAAACCTTTTAGTTAACTGGATCAGAATAGATCCAAGAAAACTGAAGTTGCAACCAAAATGAATCAAGTTAACACAGTGATTGGAGCTATGCCTGGCATAGCTTAAATTTTGAGTTTTCTGTTCATGTGCAGTAATGTCTACCAACAGGTCTTTCAGTCTTTCCCTTATAGCATGTTCTAGGTGGAAAAGGTAAAGTAACAACTGAGCATTTGAGCATTACAATTGTATATATCATACCAGTTTTTTAATTTCATAGTTTCATAGATTTAGGGTCGGAAGGGACC